CGCACAGCGCAGACAGGTTAGGGGTCAATCAGGTGGCTCGTTAGCTAGCCTCTCCTCGGCGCCTCAGCCAGGCCCGGGCATGGCGTGCGGCGGCAGGGGCGGCACGGGGTGGTCCTCGCTGCCGGCGGACCTGCTGCTCACAGTATTCGCGCTCCTCCCCTCCGACGTCGACCGCATCCGCTTCCGCGCCGTCTGCGCGGGCTGGGGCGCCGCCGCGGCCGCGTGGCGCCCGCGCCCCTGGCTCGTCGGATCCCGCACCGACCGCTCCGGCCGGTGCGCCGGCGCCATGTCGTCGTTCTGGCTCTCCCCCAGCGGCGGCCTCCTGCCCTTCGCCGCCAACGTGCCACCGGGGCTGGAGTACCTCTCCTCGTCCTCCCACGGCTACCTCGCGCTCTCGGACCCGAGGATTAGCCCCAAGGCCATCCTCCTCCTCAACCCCTTCACCGGCAGGCGCGTCCACCTCCCGCCCATCGGCTTCTTCAGCAACTGGCTCGACTTGACCACCGTCGTGCTGTCGGGCGACCCCGCCACGGCCGCCGAGTGGGCCGCGGTGGCCGTCGGGTTCCCGACCACCTGCCTCGCCTACTACAGCTCCGCCACCGGGGCGTGGGCGCGGCTCGACTTCCGCGTGCCCGGCTACGCCGGCGTCGAGCACTACGAGGGGCGGTTCTACGTGGCCTTCAAGTCCCGGATCTGCATCTGCGAGGTCGGCGGGGACGCGCCCGCGGTCATCCCGCTCGAGCACGTCGTCGACGCGGACGGCGACGCCTCGGACGACGACGACGACGACAAGCTCCCTGGCGGTGGGAGGCGCGCCGTCGACACGCACCTGGTGGAGTGCGGAGGCCAGCTGCTCCTCGTCTCGGTGCACGACGACGTCGTGTACAACTCGCACGACGACGTCGTCGACATGGCGGGCCTCGCCTTGGACGACGGGGGCAACAAGGGCGGGGACGCGCGTGCGGTGGAGGTGCACAGGGTGGAGTGGCTCGGGGATGGCGCGGTGCGGCTGGTGCGCGTGGTGGACATCGGCTGGAACAATCTGTTCCTGGGGCGGAATCGCGCGTTCGCGCTCTCCGGGGCGGACTTCCCCTGCTGCCGCGCCAACTGCATCTACCTCGTCGACCGGCAGGGCCACCCGGACGGGGTCGTCAGGGTGCTGGGCATGGACAGCCAGTGGGCGCGCCACGAGGAGACCATCTGCCCCGACGACGGATCCTCTTCGGCCGGGTGGGCTCGCCGTGGCTGGTTCTTCCCCAACTACTAGCCATGGTGGTCATCTTGTCTGCTTTCTATAGCTAGTACTCCTACTTAGCAGTACAATTTTTGTTGGGGAATGGGGATTGATTACACAGTCACACAAACTAGTGAACTCCTGGTGCCTCCGTTCGTTAATCCTGAAGTATGTCTACTAAAAAATCGAACGGAGATACTTTCTGACTGCCATGAGCCGATGATACGACTTGGATGGATGGGCAAGCCAAGTTTTATCTCGCAAGGAGATGTTCAAGACGATCTATCGACGTTAGGATCTGGCTAGAAATGGTCGCCTGTTCAGGCATGTGAAAGTTTGCACTTCCCATAATTTTTCTTTTCAACTCTTTATCTTGTATTTATGCAAAAGTCCCATCCTTGCTCTGATATAACTCACAGAATTGAATGCAACTGTTTCTCACCATCTAGCAGCAACACTGAAATGTCCAAATAGAGAAGCTGGTCTTGATAACAAAATTGATTCAGAACAAAATCAATTCATGGACCTATGTGTGGCCGCTGTTCTGCCTGTTCGTTTCGGCTGAAACGATCGTGGATTATTACTGCTGGCTGGGTTGGTGTGAGAGAAAAATACTGTTCTGGTTTATAATCTACGATCGTTTACGACCATGCAAACAGGCTAACTCTGCAGCTCCTATTTAGATATTGGCTAGCTAGTTGACTAACAGCTAGTTGAAAGTTTGGCTCAAAAAGTAGCCCACCTAGTAGCTCTCCTATTTAGATGCACTAGGGCTAATTTTAGCTATTGTTTAGTTAGCTAGCAATTAACTCTATCAAAATACCCTTAAATAATCTTGCTTGTTGCTGGCAATTCAGAGAGTCGATAAGGGCAACTCCAGCATCAAATCCGCGAATCGATCTTGGCGTGCCTGAGGGCCTGTTCGACAGGACTGGAAAATACTGTTTCGACTGATTGTTGTGAAAGAAAAATACTGTTCTGACAGGACGTGAATAGTGATTTTATGAGGGGGCTGGCCAGCCGGCAATCAGCCAGCCAGCCAGCCGAACACAGCTCGAGAGTTCAATGCATGTTTCAGTTTGATGGGACCCGTCCCTCGTTGGCTCTGTTCGTTTATCTTATAATCCGTCTTTTTTAGCTTGTTTTTTCAGCCGGAACAATGTTTTTCTCTCACAACAAATCAGCCGGAACAATGTTTCGGCTTGTTTTTTCAACGAAGCGAACGAGGCCATTATGGTAAGGATTCCTTAATACGGGATGGGGCCTGTAATGTAGGCTTCAGCAAACATTAAGCTATGCATATTTTCAGAAAACTCAAAACATCTTATAATTTTGAAACAAATAAATTGTTACTTTTTAGTTCTCAAGAGAGAAAGAATTAGAAATTTTGTTTCTTGACACCGTCAACTTCATTAGAGACAAAGTGTGTTGTGAGATCGAGGAGGGTCAGATACTCAGATACGAACCACATAGCTCTGGCAAAGTCAAAATCAAAGAATAAGAGCCTGTTTGCTGGTTGGTTTCTGGGCTGATAAGCCGGGCTGGTGCTGGTTTGTTGTGAGAGAAAAACACTGTTGGCTGACTGATAAGCCCTGACCGAAACCAACATGCGAACAGCCTGTAAGTGTTTATCTATTTCAGTTTTATGGCATGCCTTGTGTTTAATGTCTGTGTCGGTGGAGAAGGGAGAAGGTCCATCTCCAGTTGACAGCGCTTGTCGAAGCAAGGCGCATGATTTGTGGGAGAAAGCGACGAGCTCTTCAGATAGAAATGACACAGTATTCTCCAAGTACAGAACGAATGCAACTCCCTTTTGGATTCCTAAAATGGATATGACATTCAGTGGGTTTGATGAAGCTTGGGACTTTTGGGTGACATATGGTGGTCTGATGGTTTTTGATGTTCGAAAGTGTCACACGAATACGAGTGATCTTGATGGATTAGTTTGTGCAAATCAAGGTTCTGGAGCTGAGAATAAAAAGTTCAGTATTGTCAAGCGTAATTGAGCTCAAACAAGAACAGGCTGCATAGTTCACATGGGCATTACTTTGGACAGAGAAAAAGGGACACGAGATGCAAGAACAGGGATTATTCAAGATATGCATGGGAGGGATATAGTGGAAAATCCTAAGTTAGACGCTGCACTTCGGTAAAAAAAACTTTGCAAAATATTCCTTCCTCTGGCTTCAAGAGCTGCTGATTCTGAAGACTGTTGCTTGCTTGTGGAAGATGCAGTTCAAAATTTGAGTAAGCAAGTGGAAGAAAAAAAAATCAGAGGAACTCCTCATATTGATGTTGATCAGTCTAGTGCTCTTTTGTGAATGTACAATTAGGCGATGCATGTTTTTGTATATGAAAATAGGAACAGAGAACCTTGATACATGCAAAAGGATCTTAGTTTACCATTTTCTCTTTAGCATGTACTCCCTCTTTTGTAAATGTAATTAGAGGACATTAACCTCTCAGTCTAGAGTAGTATATATGATATTACTGTAGGCTCCCATGTGTTAACTGCATTATTGTAATAATTATGCCTTTTTTTTTGGTTTCTGCTTTTTGACTCAAGAAGAACTGGCTCACAGTAGAGGGTGAATACAAAATGAGTAGTGACTGCTTATCTTACATGGATGGCTTAGGTGCAATGACTGCTTATCTTGCAGTAGTAGCAGTGACTGCACAGGCTGTGTCCAATAAACTGTGGCACTCACTTTGGACTTGCCATATCTCACGACTACTGTGGTACTGCAACCCAGCCATTTAGGTCATGTTCGCTTCGCTGAAAAGCCATGACTTAACGTTGATTTGTTGTGAGTACACCGCAAACTGAAAAAGTATGACTGTTTAACAAGTAAGACAAAGGCTAGAGGCTATTTCGAACAAAGAAATAGAAAACACAGTGATTGCAGGAATGAAAAGAAGGAATTTTTCAAGATAGGTGTTTGGATTGCAGGAATGAAAAGAGAATAGTAAACTTTAAAACTTGATTGCAATATTGACTTTTTTTATACCAATCGAATCCTTAAGAAAATACATACTGGTTTAGGATATAGCATATAAACTAGAGAGAGAAAGCCATACTGCCTACTAAGCGTACGAAACTTTTCTTTCCATGGATGCGAGCTGCAGGCTGAAGCAGGAAATGTCAATGTTGCCTCACTGTGAAGGCTAGAATCGGCTTCTTTTTTTTGTACGCTTATTCGGCTTACCTTAAAAGTTGACTTATTCGGCTTCTTTTTTTAACTAGAACAGTGTTTTTCTCTTACAACATTTCAGCTTTAGCTTGTTTTTTCAGTCAATTTCAACCAAATGAAAGGAGCCATATAAGCATGTTTAGAGAAAGCGAGCAAAGCGGAGCGAGTGGCCACAGGAAAGCTTTCCATTGACTCCGAGCTCATTTTTTGTTTCCTGCAAAAGTACATGCTTCTCCACCGTTCCTATGAAAAGTTCTTTGCCGATTCCTCCGTACCAAACGCATAGTGACATCAGCAAAACAGAGGTTTGGCATTCCTTTGAAATTCCTTTAAACTTCATTCCAAACATTAGGAATTGAAAATGAATCGCCGAAGGAATCGAATAGGAATTGCACATGAATCACCGAAGGAACTGAATAGGAATTACAAATGAACCACCGAAGGAATCGAAAAAGCAAGGGTTCATTTGTGCACGAGCAGTCGAGCACGACAGTACATTGTCTCGAATAAAAGAGCATTAATTTTAAACGAACGAAATGATTTCAAAGACGAAACTAGAGTAGCATTTTTAATAACTAATAATTGAAAAAAGGCAAAGCATTACGAAGGCCATGCATCGAGAACCTGCGCCTGCGCGGCGGCGGCGTCGTATCCAACACCGGGCGAGGGCAAAACCAAGATAGTATGTGCCAGTGTCCGGCGAGGGGCAGCTTCCGGACGAACTTATCGCGCCGCCTGGGATCCGCTTTGAGATCAATGACGACCATCCCTTGCACGCTCCTCGTATAGTTGACAGCAAAGAAGTAGACACAGCCCGCCCTGACGGCGGGGAAGCCGCTCGCCCGGAGCGCGAACGCGTGGCCCTGCGGCGCCACGAACACGGCGTAGTCCCCGGTGCTCGCCACCGCCTCCGACGCCACTGGCATGCCACCGCCGTCCGCGTCGAACACGATCTTGAACACCTTGGCCAAGTACCGGTTCCTGCGCCTCAAGAAGTAGTGGCTGCCGAGGCAGTACCCTGGGCAGTACCACGGCGACCTATACTCCTCGCGCCGCGCCACCTGCACGACCAGGAGGTCGCCGCCGCACTCCACCAGGCACTGTTGCCAGTCCCACTCCCAACCCGGTGGTAAATAAATCTGTACCGAGCTCACCACGAGCCTCCGGGCCTCGACGTCGCAGAGGGCGAGCCTGCTAGGTTTTGCGAGGAGCACGTAGGGTCGCCCCCCGAAGAACTCGAGCCCCTGGTAGAGCCGCATCGGCTGGCCCTGATGGCCCTGTCCGTTATCATCCAGATCAACCCGCGCCCACTCGGCGTCGCCGGGGCGGCAGAAGGCGAGCACTTCTCCCGGGTTGTGGGTACAGACGTCGTCCCATCTGAAAAAGGCGAACGCCGTCCAGCTGCCGGGCGCGGAGAGAGGGTCGTCGGAGAGGAAGACGTCGAACAGCTGGTAGCCGGCGTCGAAGGCGGGCAGCGGGATCTCGGCGCGGGAGATGGGGTCCCTAAGGAGGAGGCGCTCGCCTTCGTTCACGGCGAACCAGCCACGCGACGTGCCCCTTACGCAGCGGCAGGCGGGAGGCCATACTCCAGTGACGGCGGCGGAGTCCACGCGGACGAACCTGACGCGGGTGTGGCGGCGGCGATCCACGGGCCGCACAAAGGCGTGAACATTGTCATCGGCAGCGTTCAAGATGAACATTGGGCGGTGCACATGGGCGCCGGTGCCCGCAGCGGCGCGCCAGCCGGGGCACACGCGACGGAAATTGGCGGCGTCGACATCGGTCGGGAGGCGGACGAATATGTCATGCAGCAGCCCTCTCCCGAGGGACGCCCAATCCCTCTCCGTCATGGACGCAAAATGGATGCGGCACTCGGACTCTCGGAGAATAGCATCGGTCCTCTATACAGGCTGCCGCTGCGACTGCGGCAGAATAGCATATAACAAACAACAACTCCAACTGACTTTGTGAAGCCAACCGCCTCCAACTGACTCGGCAATCCGATCTACCATATCCCGGGGTTCTCGGTAACCAAACTTTACGAACGAACCGTGTTCGCTAGGCATCCGCAGTGGGCGCTTCCTACGCGAGTGCGCTGCCGCCTGGACTCCTCTACCGCGTGAGGGCATTTCCGACAGTTCCCTAAATATTTCTTATAAGAACTCTATGTTTTTCAACTCCTAAAAAGTATTGGGAGAAAAAAAGAGGATCATCTCTAATAGTTCTTAATATTTCACTTTAAAAAATCAAATTTTGGTCTCTTTTGAGTTTTTTTTCAGTCCTTTTTTCGTGCGGAATTCTTCTTGCTCGCGCATAGGTAACGCCGCCGCCTCCTCCTTTCCTTCGTGTTGCCCTAGCCCAGCAGTCGACAACCCAGCAAGCAAGCAACAGTGGCTGGCCACCAGGCAAGCAAACAAAGTATGCATACAGTACCATGCAAGCAAGCAGGCGGGTAGCAACCAGGCAAGCAGGCAAACCAGCAGCCTGCACGCAAGCAAGCAGGCGCTCGTCGTCGCCTCGGTGGCACTTCTGCTTCGTCCGGGTCTGCGATGGCTCCATCGTCATCAACTCTACGCCGGGAAACAAGACCGAGAAGGATCAACCCGCTCATCGCCAAGGGCTCCAGGGTGACGTTCGCGGCCGAACAAGTTCCTCCCGTGGCGCCGCCCGACACCGCCGAGGTGGCGCACTCGCTGTTCGCCTCCAACTGGCCCGCGCCGGCGCCGGTTTCATCCAAGCCCCAGCGCCCGGTGCTCACCGCGCTGCTGCGCTCCTTCTGGCCGCAGTTCCTTCTCACCGCCGTCCTCGGCGTCGCGCACCTCTCGGTCATGTACATCGGCCCGTCGCTCGTGGACCGGTTCGTCGAATTCGTGCGACGCGGCGGGGAGCTCACGGAGGGGCTGCAGCTCGTCGCCGTCCTCCTCGTCGGCAAGGCGGCCGAGACACTGTCGTCGCACCACTACGAGTTCCAAGGGCCAGAAGGTGGGAAAGGCGCGGGAAGAAGGACTCCGCGGGAACGGCGTCTCCGTGCGCGGCTTCGTCCGCCTAAAGTTACGCGAAAGGAGGATGAATTTTTCAAGTCTTAAAAGATTAGGAGTAAATATTAGGAGTTGTTGGAGAGGGATTTTTCTCTATCTTTCTAAAAATTAAGGATTACGAGGATGTTTATGGAACTGTTGAATGCTCTATGGCACACTCCGCCGGCGGCGACGAGTTTTCCGCTGGCCACGAGTTCTTCCGGCAGTGGAAGATGTGGCCACTAAGGGCCCACTCGCCTCGAAATGCTAGTTGCTGCTTCTCACTGCCCCGCGCGCCGCCTGGGCTAGTCCCAGAGATCCACGGCCGACGGCCGGAGCCCGGAGGCCTCATGCACATCCCTCGGTGATGGGGATCACCCGCAGCACCCCTCATTGGCCCGTGCCTCCACGAATTCGATTCTATGCCCTCGGAATAGGCTGGTCGCGCTGCCGCCGCAAAAGCGACGAGGCGTGCGCCGGCCAAATTTTGGACCCAAATCCAACTGAGCAGTGAGCACCGCGTGTGTGCGTTGTGGAGTACTAATTCTCGAATGAGCAAAGAAGGTGTGAGTAGGATGATGCGTTGAGCTCAGGTGTTTTAATGCCAGAGGAAGTATGTGATAAATGAAAGATCTGTTGGATAATGCTTGTATTTTAGAGAGTTTAGAGAGCCCTACAGATAAGATTTTAGAGAGTCTTTTGTGCTTGCTTTAATGTCACTAGGAGCAACATCAACAACTTAGCTAAAATAAATTAGTAGCCAAATTCTATAGTTTAGCCATTTTGTAAAATAGAAAACTCCTAAAAAAGAGGTTTACAACAGCCTTGTTATTTCTTATCTTCAGATAGCTAGCGCTCGTGGTTGGTTTTAAAGCATCTTTAAGAGACTATCTGTATCTTTCCTAAATGCTAGGAATAGAGATTTTGATAAAAAACTACCATCCAACAGCTTTTCTAAATGGTTATTCAAATATAGCTATCTTTATTCTGGATTTTTCGCTAGCGAAAAATAGAAGACGAGAATAGCTTTCTAGAGTGCGTATGAGATATAAAAGAACCATTGGTTGGAGAATGAAAAGATATATAGAAAACGATTTTTATGCAAATGACTCTCCAGATGATGATTTAGAGAGTGAGATTTAGAAAGGCTCTTGGAGATGCTCTTATATGTCTACCAAAAATCAAGAGGTAACCAGCTTCATATTTTACAAAAGTCGGATAGCACATCTATTTTAGCCTACTTTTTGCTATACAAATTCGAAAATAGCTTCCAAAACAAGAATAGCCTAGCTGCTAAAGTTGCTCTAACTTGTTAGCATTGAGATTGTTGGCGCAAAAAGGCTACACTCCTACAACATACGGATCAGAGAAAATTGAAATTTTGCCATCATCAAACTTAGGTTTCGCTCATTTGCCATCCCACAGAAGGGATTCGCTACTTTGCCATTATCAAACGATGTACACTTGCCATCATCAAACTTGCTCAAATGCCCTTTCCTTGAACAACACCCGATGTTGGCTAGATTGTGCGCATCGGATAACCCGCCTAAGCAATGTACGGATCTCGGCGTATCGTATATCTACCTTAGCAATGCACGGAACTCAAATAGTTTCGGTATTTTATCAAATAAAGTATCTGTGGGGGTATAACCCCAGGTACCCATGGCAATGGACATGGGCCGCACCGCCAGGGGAGGTCCAACCCATAAGATCAAGGCCTACGATGCCTAGTTCTGGTCGACGTGCACCGCAAGGCAATCAGAAGACATCTTGGCGATGAAGGAAGATCTTTTCGGATGTGATAGATATCGTATTCCTTGTAAATAATTACCATATAACCGAATAGATCTATGCATAAATCGACTTGTAACCCTACCCCCAGACTATATAGGACGGGTAGAGACCCCTTGAATTCATCTTATATTCAATACAATCCGACAGACATAGGACGTAGGGTATTACGTCGATTAGACGGCCCGAATCTGTCTAAATTGTTGTCTCTGCGCCTTGTGTCACCATCCGGTTCCTATTACGCGCGCCTCCACCGATCATCTACTATCGTGGGGATACTCCTTGGTAGACTGCCGACCAGATTTCGTCGACAGTGGCGCGCCAAGTAAGGGGTGTGTGTGCTGATTCCATGGCCAACCAGATGGTCACTTTCTCGAGCTCCATGGCCATTCCCGAGTAGGGCCAGATCTTCACGGTCGGATCCATGACTTGGATCATTGTCCCCGACGGCAGCGGGGAAATCATGGAGGCGGTGCAGGATCACCCTACGCCGATCGTGCCAACATCCACAATGACATCTTCGATCCCGACGCCTCGCCGCTGGGTTGGGAGATCTATCAACAATGACGATCTGATCGAAGCTATCGATCGGGTCACGGACCGCTTAGCGGAATGTCAGCTCCTCGTGGATTCGGTCTTAGATCAATCTAGAGCGAGCGAACCTCCTGCACTCCAAGGTCACCATGCCACTAATTACGAGCGCCCCGCTCGTGCACGTCGTCCGAGGTGGCAAGATGAAGATTTGGTAATCATGGCAACTCCAGAAGGGCGTATCGTTCAACGCCGACCACTCCCCGCCCCAACGGAGAGCATGCCGAGGCCCTATCCTTTTGGGCTAGTGGGTGCCAATTTGATCTGTCAGGACGTCGTGCACCATCTTTTCGTTAACCACGCCGAGCGTAGCCACGTCAACGACCTCTATCAGATCGACTTCCTTGAGGCCGACCAGCCTGCGCCAATGATAAACATGGTGCAAATCCGAACAGATCTTTCGGATGACACGCTCCATACAATCCTAGAGGAAAGCCCTGAGCCATACTCCGAGGGCTCTACCAGCACCTGCCCACCTTTCCCTCTAGGCTTTGGGAGAGAGCTCTTCATGGTTAGCCACAATAGCGTTGCTATCGATGGAGAGACCAATGTCTAGCACCGTGAACGTGAAACTAGGAACATCGATCGCCAATAGTGTCACAATGAAGAAGTAGAAGATGTTGTCCAAGCTGTCGGAGGTGACCCGCCGCCTCTCGCTCATAATCTCCAACATGAGTTCCACATGGTGAACAATCAGCAAGTGACGCAGACGCCGAGCGCCAATCTGGCTGTGGCCACCCATGAGTTGGCTCGACTCCCACCAATGTCGGAGGTACTCAAGATTCAAGCGCTGCTTAAAGCAGCTCAGGTCCAAGTCAACGACATTCAGAACCCAGCTCTGTCTTATTCGACAGCGACCCCACGCAGTCGTAACCCCCGTAGTTTTCACCATGATGGGGGGAGTCGTTACCATAGTGGCCAGATCATCCAAGGGGGGTCTAAGGGCAATTGTGCCATCAATCTTGAATCACAAGGACCACGAAATCAACATGGCCGACCAGCTCGTAACACCAACTAGGAGGTTAATCAACCCCTGTGCAGTGATGCCCGTGACCGCATCAACACCAATCTCAATGTCCGCAATCGCATCGAGAACAATCGTGCCCAGTAACATCAGGCAGAACTCCAACGCCGATAGGAGCACGACGACCAACATGGCGACCCCATCGGCCGCCAACCACTCCCTGCTATCGAGCCAACGGGGCCTCACCCCTTCACAGCAAGGCTATGAGCTGTATAGTGGCCTGTAGGTTTCAAGATCTTCAGGGTCGATCCCTACGATGGAAAGGCTAATCCCGAGTAGTGGATGCAGCTCTACGAGATCGCTGTACGTGCTGCCGAGGGAAACAACGACGTAATGGCAAATTATTTGCCTATCAAGCTCTCCCAATCTGCCAACAATTGGCTTTTGGGCTTAAGGGAGGACTCCATCGAATCTTGGGATGATCTCA